GTCTTTTCATAAGAAAATATTGAATTTCAACTCGTATCTCCTCAAAATTTTACATATTAATTTGATTAGAAATTTTACCTAATTAATCATTGGACTTTAAATTTAAATAAAATGAAGCGTTTTTTTTAAAAAAAATTTTTATTAAAAATTTATAGATCTATAATAATTTATCTAATGATTTCACGGGGTTACACAAATCTGGTTTATTAATGATAATGGCCATATTAATATATAACGGTAATAAAGAAGTAAAAGATGACCATGAGCGGCCAGGCCGGCCCAAAGTGCAGCTACACAAGCCGCATATAATATAAAATCATGGTCGGCAAATTATCGATATTGATATGATTGTAATTTTATATTATATACAGTGGCTGCGGCTTGTGTACCCGCACTCAGATGACCAGGACGATAGTCATATGTAAAATTAGCACTGATATATCGATATATTTAATTAACTAATTAGTAAAGTGAGAGACCTTCCGGAAAATTATACATGATAGACAAGTGCCAATCGGGTAATTAGTATGGAAAATTGAGTATTTCCTTATTCCCTGCTGTATAAGCACTCAATTAAAGGAGGAATAAAACCCGTACGCGTTTTCATAGGATGATTTTCGGGAAATGGAAGACAAAAACAAAATATCTCACCACACCAATAATGGAAAGGTACTGTTTTATTGACGTGGTTTCTAATCGCTACAATTTTAACTTTAAATAGTAAGAGTGGTACAGATTTGGTAGAACTAGTGCTAGAGTTTTTAGACTTGCGCGTTTCAAAGATTTATCATTGTTCAGACAATGAAAAATCACCAAAAACGTTTAAGTCTAGGAAAAGATGAATTCTCGGTGTAGCTGTTTGTTATGTTAATTTAGTTTCGCTGAAGTTGATCATGGACATTGTTATCATTAGAACAAAAGTCTGTTCGTTTTTGTTTAATATTATTTAAAGCTTTTGTATGATCATCAGTATTAAAGTTTTTAAATTGTACATAGCGAAATATTTGATTTTATTAAATAAAGTTATTGTATGCTTAGACAATTATAATTCTGCCTGCATAAAATTTTTGTTTGTTAAGAAAGTAATAATAACGTCGTTTTTACTGCGATTGCAGAATTAAATAAAATTTCATAAAAAAATTCGAACCCAAATTTACAATGCCAAAACTACCAAAGCAAAAGTGCCATTTAAAAAAATTAGAAGTTCAAAAAAATAAGGTTCAAAAAATTTTTAAGATAATTTCCAAATTTGATCACGAATCTCTGCCAAAAATTCATAATATTCTTACTAATATTGCAAATGACACTCGAGAAGAAGAAATGTTTCAATCAATTTGCAAAATGCCAGAACCAGAAAAAGCAAATGCGTTAATGCTTTTTAATTCAATGCAAAATCAAAAAGGCAAACACGCAAATAAAATCATTTCACCCTACCTTCAAAAAAAAGCTTTTGACTTCATTATGAATCCCAAAAACCAAATTAAAAAGTTAAAGGCTGAAAATACCGAGTTAAAGTCAGCAAATAGAAGGTTAATATGAAATAATCAAAAACTAATACACAAACTCCAGTCTATAGATAGGGTAGTGTTAAAATTTATTATTATTTTTTTTAAGAGTGAGGCCTGGCCTTAGTCTTTACATTTTATAAGTTTTTTTCATGCGCCCTTACCCAATTCATGTTTCAAATTTATTAGGTAGTTCAAACTGACATCTTCACAATAAAGTTAAAAATCGAATTTCAACTATTCAGTCATTAATAAGAAAATTGAAGCAGCTATCTCATAATGAATTCAAGTGCCAAATTAGTACATTATTTAAAACAAATAATCGAGAATACTCGCCCTGAATGGTTTGGCTTTTAACCAAAATATCTCAAATTAGACAAACTTCTTTAACGGCAATAGTTGAATCATTATGTCTGGTCTATGAATTCTTAACCGGAGAGTTCCCACAAAGATGGTTATCCGTGATGATCCTAAGTACTTGGCATAAAAAAGTTTCACAAATTGAAACTGAAGCCGGAATACATAAGGCCACACAATGTTCACACTATAGAATCCTCATCGATGAATCAACTCATGGAGAATTTAAATATTTCGTAGTATGCATTATGTTTTGGGATTATAAAAAAAATATACCATCAGTTATTGTGACTAACCTTGAGGATTTAAATAACTGCACTAGCCAATCGGTAGCAGACAGTACTCTTAAAGCAATTGCAAATCACGGGCTTGATCCAAAAAAATGTTTAACATAGATAACAAACAATACAGCCTATATGTCAGGTAATAAAAAAAGCATGATTGTCTAATTTAATAAAAAGGCAAATGTAGATACAGTAAGAATCAGTTGTGGAATGCATATAATGCATATTGTTTTTTCAAACTTTGAAGAGACAG